GAGCAATGATAAGGCAATGGAGGTAATTGGAGGCGAGCTTGGCTTCGTGGGGTCTACGAGGCGTGGTCGTTGCTTTGGCCACAGTTTGAATCTCTCCGCCAAGGCATTACTGTTCGGGCAAAACGTGGAAGCATTTGAAGAGCAGTTGTCAGGCGCAGCACCTTTGTCCGAGGCGGAGCACTTTCTGTGGCGTCGTAAAGGGCCTGTCGGGAAGCTACTTAACCTTGTAGTGGATGCAACAACAACAGAATCAATGATAGCTAACTGCCTCACATAACGTGACAGTTACATGCGGCCGGGCTCCCGTGGGGTCAAGGCAATCCACAACAAGGTCAAGTGGCATGGAGTGTTTGTAATGGACATCGATCTATGTGTGCGTCCATATGTGGCATTATGTGTAGTGACCTTGAAGCCCGGCGGCTAGTGAGTTGATTCAACTATCTAGTGAATATGTGGTTTACTATCAAGATGAAGAGGATAGAAAGCTGATCAACTATATGAGAACATAACAGCATTTTCATAGCTTCGAATCAATGGACAGTTCTGTAGAAGCTCGGCGGCGCAGCCACCGTTGAAGCCGCTTGTCCTTTTGCTGATTGAATGGACACTATCCAAATGTTTATTTGGCATTCATCGCGCTCATGGAATCATTCTTAGGACCTTGGCGACCGGGTATCTGAATACAGCAATCGTCAGCATACTAAGAGCTCCAAAGACGTCAACGTGCGGTATATGCCACGCATATAGGACATGAGACACTTACTTCCGCAGTCTGGATGGTGCCCTCCTCTAGAATCTTTTGAATGCACTTGTCCTGATTGTCTGTATCGAATTCGGAAGCCAATGTCGTTTTGGGAGCACCGTCAAAAGCGCCCTGAGCACCTTGTCTGTATTACACCTGTTAGCCGTAGCACTCTAGAAATGCAGTGCCTGAGACGGCTTAGCAGCAAGGAGCCAGGTCACAGCGAATGGCACCCCACAAACGCTGTAGCGCTAGCCAGGGCGAGCAGACTAAGGCGCTGGTGGCACAAATCAAGCCACAGATAAAGCGAGTTACAAGCCTAGTTAGGTGCGAGAGTATGGTAGTGCTTACTTGTGTGTCAAGAATATCTTGAACAAAGAAATGAACTCGGTGAGGGGAATGTTCTTATCTGTCTTCCATATCTTGTATCTCTTGACATTGTTAACAAAACCAGAAAGTCGTCGTGCTTGCCCTTTAGGTGGACCTTAGACTGAGTACCTTCTCCTCGAGTCATTCTGGGTATCTTTCGGACGTATCGTTGCTCGCGTTGCTTTTAGTGTTTGTCGCGCTGTTCTATGGTTGCAAAAGCCGGTTAGAAGTGTGTTGTTGTTTTGTTCTTTGGAGGGTGCATACTGCATAGGCCCAACCCCAGGAATTTTCTTGTACTTGATACATTAAATGGATTACTAACAGCGGCTCTTTAGAGGCTCTGCTTGCGACAGTTAACCCTAGTTAGCTCTACAACACGCTATCGTGACGTCAACGATAACGTCAGAAGTGCATACCTTACCGGCCTTCTCATGTGGCTCATCGCCTTCCGGATTCCCGAAAATCGACCCATGTCGAGACTGCTCGCTGCTTCCGCCTCTTGGCGGGCCAGTTCGCCACAAGTCGAGATATCCACTGTCAGAAGCCACAGAATATACACTGCAGGCTGCAACATTGTGGAGAACCAATCGGAGCGGGAGTCCATGGCTTCCGTACCAATTATATTTTGGCACTAGATGGCCCGTCGAGTATGAATCACCCGATCCCCGCTAGATACGCCCAGGCTATCAACATACTGCCCTACATGATGACATAACATGCACGACCACCATATTATAGTAACACAATACGAGGATCGGTATACCGGTCTTGCGACAATGTAATACAAGCATGCTTATATTGGCAGCATGTTTTTCAAACTGGGCCGGTCCACAGACGGGGTGCTGGGCTTTAGCCCCAATTGGGCAATGACACTATTTATATCGTTAGGTTTGAACAAAAGCTTCGGCAGTGAAGCATAATGTAGAGCATCATTCGCCACGACAAACGTCTCCATTGATGATAATTATACGCAAAGCACATCAGTGCGCCCCACCAAATCCCTTGGTATTGAAATCTTTCTTGCTTCATTCCCTGTCCAACCTCGCTGCCCTCAAATCAAATCACATCAACCACCAGGGGACGTGCGCACCGCCCCTACACGCAGACAGCCCGTCGCTACCCGCAACTACGCAGACCGACGAATTCTCCTCCGCCTCAAAGAGGATCCAGCTTCTTTGAGAAAAAAAGTCTCCAGATCCGACTGGCGCTCAAAGAAAAGCTGGCACTCGACACCCAGGACATCCAGGACATCAAACCCACTAACACAGGCCGGGCGCTTTCAGCGCGCAACAAAGAGATCCAGAAAAGGATCATCAAATCGCAAAGTGTATGGGGACAAAGTGTGGACCTAGATACAGCAGAAAAGCACGTAGCATGGCACACGTATCTGATCAAAGACTCAATCCTGGGGAAGAGGCGAGGCAATCCACTTCGACGCTAAAAAGACAGAAATCATGCACTTTTCCAAATGCAAGACAGATCACAGTCAATCTCCCGTCATCCACCACGGCGACAAAGAGATTCGGGCATCACAGTCTATGCGCTGGCTAGGCATCTGGCTCGACAAGAAACTCACCTTCAACCACCATACCGACGAGTGGACGCAGAAGGCTCGCAGGGTAATAAACCACCTCCGAGTCATGACAACACAGTGCGTGGCATGTCAGCAACTGCGGCCCGCCGAGTAGCTTGGGTTGTAGCTATGTCAAATTTTGTTTCACAGATTGGGGGCCTGGCTACCAGGCTTGGACACAGGCACTTTACGCCTCAAAAGAAACCACATCTCGAAGACAAACCTTGATAAGATACAACGCGTACTAAGCCTCGGGTGCAAGATAGTTCTGCCCATGTGGAAGACAAGACTATTAGAGTTTCTTTGGAGAGAAGCGGGCATCCCGCCAGTGAGCGTCCTCCTTCGACACATCCAGAAACGCGTAGCGATTCGCCACGCGACACTAGACAAAGCACATCCGATCAGTAAGCGGCTGCGACAGTCGCAAAGAGAAGTCGAACTGAACGAGAAACCACTTATCGCAGAACGAATGGCCCTCCGGCATTCAAGGAATCAAGGCTCCTGCGGACTGCATTTCGCACGTCCAAGGTCGAGCGACCAAGACTCATCCCACAGAGGTTTCTGACAGCATACAAGTAGAAGGACCCACGGAGATGCACACCAATGACAAGGCTGTAACATAATTCAAGCAGTGGCTCGCCGGTCAACCCGCGGGCTACGTAGTCTTCAGCGACGGCTCCAAGACAGACGCTGACAAGGCAGGATACGGCTTTGTCGTTTTCCACCATGGGCACTTTCTCCGGACTGGGGATACGGACAGCTGGGACGTCGAGAGGTATTCGACGTCGAAATACACGGCGCGCTTGCAGGATTGAAAGCGGCCATGCAACAGAACAGCCGCCTCGAACCGACCACAGTCTGCATGGACAACACGCCGTAATGAACTGCATCGGAGCGACAGCGGCAGACTCTTCGCAGGCCTGCTTCCAAGAATTTCAAATGATCGGGGACAAACACCCGCACCTGATCTCTGTCAAGTGGTCACCCGGGCACACCGGCATCTTCGGTAATGAGCTGGCCGACCGACTCGCAAGCATGGTGCTACGCTTCCCACGAACGAACATCTGCCATCTGTCTCGTACGGGAAAAGGCAGATGAAGATGCAAACAACGATGAATCACAGAGCCTGGTGGGCGGGCTGCTACTCCCGGCGAAGGAGCGGGTGCGCACTGGGATGCTGTCGCGGGTGATCACTCTCTGCGGGCCATGCAACAACGCGTTGTGGCTCACGGAGGTGTCGCGTCGCGGCGCATCGCCAGCGCTAGCGGCATTTGGCGGCGCAGGCGCCATGCCGTTGGGCGTACAGTTTAGGAATTTGCGCAAATTCATTATAATTTATTCCGCTATCTTTCTGGTCTAAAAACACAAGGTAGGGTGTACCTTGTGATGTAGATGAAAGATGAGAGGGGCAACGCCGCACGCAATGTCGCGCAACAACGAAACGCGGTAACGCGTACGCGTCGCGTCAGTGTAGAGACCACGTCCACCTCCACCATCAATTGTGGTATTCTTCCATACCATTGTACGTTCAGCGATATACATAGCATTCGAAATGAGCACAGTCACCAAAAGAAACCTGGACGCTCTTCAGTCCGAGCTGGAGGAGCACGGTGCGGTGCAAAAGTGCCACAAAACTGCGCACCAAAATGAAGATTTATCACTCGAGAGGGATGCACCCGCCGTCAAAAGAACTATCGATGTTTTTGCGGCCAAACCCGTCGACGGTCAGGAGCACCAGGAGACTGCCGATCAGGAGATCCCCTTAACTCCTCGCGCACAGATAGCTACGCCGACGGAACCGGTCGCCGACAACGAATTCGAAGACATACTCTCCCGCATCTCCTTCACCGACCTCAAATCTTGTTTTCGCGTTCTGCTCTCCGACCATGTCACAGCATCAACTGCGAAGCTCCAGTTGCAAGCCTACAACGAAAAGGCTTGGTTTACAGAGCGTGTGCGCTTGAAGGAAATGGCAGATCGTATCCGCACATCCGCAAAAACAGCGACGACGTCAGCTGAGCGCTACGCATGCACGACAAAAGCATTGTGCGACCTGGACATGTGGGGAAAAGCAATCAACCCATGCCTCCGACCCGCTTACGACATATGGAAAGCGAAAGCTGGTCCCCAGGCCAATGGACCGCAGACGGCATTCGATCTACTGATCGATATCGCCAACATGGCTGTCTTTACTGAGTGGCGTTCCGGCTGCGCTAGCGTTGTCGGTGATGAGGAGAGTAACGATTATACACATGAAGATATTGATAAGATGCTAGTGGGCATCCTGCAGGAGCTTGGGCAAGGGAAGGATATGGAGCACTGGGTTAAGACCGAGGAGAATGTGGCCCGGCTTGCCAGGATCAACGAGTTACGAGGGCGGATGCTCGGCGCGTGGGATACGCCGTTGAGTTATCGATATGAGTATGCTGCTCAACTCTTGTCGACAGGTAAGCTTTCAAGTAAGCCGGAGCCTTTGGATCTCAAATACTTGGGCCATCGGCCTATCCTGATAGGCCTGGAGTATAGACGTGGTGGCGGACGGAAACGTGGCGGACGCCGGTGATTGTTCAAGTAGAAATGGCTAGGATTGTTGCTGTTGACAGGGTGTTCTAACATTTCATAGACTATTGCACGGTTTAAACCCATATTTGCCCATATGTCCATGTATGAATGGGGCGAGTAGCCGGTGTGTTAGAAATGACGGTAGAAGGGGAAGAATCTACGTACTCGGCGCCATAGACACAGTCTGGTGAAGAACTAGGGCAGCCTAATGCATCAAGATATGGACGAGCAGGAGCATATTAACGACGCACCTCTCTCCATTAGAGAGTTGCAGAGACGGTAGCTTTCAAAGCAATAGGCAGCTTACAAAAGGCTAACGCTGGTGACTTCAAGCAATATAAGTAAGGCTTGCGAAATATACGTCGACGAACAGGATGCTGAATGGGAGCACTTGTTCCTGCGGACACAGAAATGAGCTTGCCATCCGCTCAGCTCCTGACAGTCAAGATGTATCTGAGTGGGTCTACAAGCTTATCATTGTTAACAAAAAAGCTTATCAATTAACTCAAGAAGCCAAGATACCGACAAGCAAGAAGGGTGCTGCACCTCTTCTCGATGGCGCAAGGGATCTACTACTCCTGAGCATCAAGATGGAGCTCCTCCTCGTACTCCTCTTCCCCATTGTCGATACCGGCTTCCTGGTACTGCTGGTACTCGGAGATCAGGTCGCTCATATTGGATTCAGCCTCAGTGAACTCCATCTCATCCATGCCCTCGCCAGTGTACCAGTGCAGAAACGCCTTGCGTCGGAACATGGCAGAGAACTGATCGCCGACGCGTTTGAACAGATCCTGAATGGTTGTGGAATTACCAATAAAGGTAGCGGACATCTTCAAACCGCGGGGGGGTACAGCGCAGAGCGCGGTCTGAATGTTGTTTGGTACCCACTCAACGAAGTAAGACGAGTTCTTAATTTGCACGTTACGCATCTGGTCCTCCACCTCCTTCATAGACACGTTCCCCCGGCTAGAGCCATGTAAGCGTTAGAGACGATACTAGTAAATGGAAAATCAAATAGGAAAGAGAAGCCTACAAAATAGCAGAGCAAGTCAAGTATCGGCCGTTGCGGAAGTCCGAAGCTGCCATCATGTTCTTCGGGTCGAATATTTGCTGGGTCAGCTCGGGAACGCTTACGGCGCGGAAAGAGTGAGCGCCGCGGCTAGTTAGCGGAGAGAAGCCGACCATGAAAAAATGCAGACGAGGAAATGGCACCATATTGACAGCCAGCTTACGGAGGTCCGAGTTCAGCTGGCCGGGAAAACGGAGGCAAGTAGTAACGCCGGACATGACGGCGGAGACGAGATGGTTCAAGTCACCGTAAGAGGGATTAGACAGTTTCAAGGTATGCCTACAGATATCGAACAAGGCTTGGTTGTCGATGCAGAAGGTCTCATCTGAGTTCTCAACCAGCTGATGGATGGATAGAGTGGCATTGTAAGGCTCGACAACAGTGTCGGAATTGCCGGGAGAGGGAACGACGGAGAAAGTGGCCATCATTCGGTCGGGGAATTCTTCGCGAATCTTGGAGATGAGCAAGGTGCCCATACCAGCACCGGTACCACCACCGAGTGAGTGGGTGATTTGGAAGCCTTGGAGGGAGTCGCTAGCCTCGGCCTCACGACGGACGACATCTAGGACTTGGTCAACGAGCTCAGCACCCTCAGTGTAGTGGCCCTTAGCCCAGTTGTTACCAGCACCAGACTGGCCAAAGACAAAGTTATCCGGCCGGAAGAGCTGACCGAAAGGTCCCGCACGAACGGCATCCATAGTACCAGGTTCAAGATCGACGAGGACAGCTCGAGGGACATACTTGTTGTCGGTAGCCTATTTACGATTAGTCGCCACGGAAGGTATTGTCGAGCAGTGATTTCAGCAACGAACTTCGTTAAAGTAGACGCTTATACGCTGGAGCTGAAGCTCGGAGCTGCCGTTGTAAACACCATTGCTATCGAGGCCGTGCTCGCCAGAAATGGTTTGCCAGAACGCGGTGCCAATTTGGTTGCCCTGCAAAACGTCGTAAGTAGTGAATCCAATTACCTCAGACTACAGACCGTACTTACGCATTGGCCGACCTGGACGTGAATCTACATGATAGGAAATTTACGTTAGCAGCGATTCAGTGACAGCTTATGAAAGCTTGTGATGTTTTGCGCCGGAAATTGGGACGGCATTGATAAGTTAGGCTCGATGGCATATAAACACGGTACATGGTACAGGCAGGCTTCGTTGAAGGCTAAGCAAGCTTTAGGTAGGAGCACTCACAATCTCGCGCATGTTAGGCGACCGAACTTTGCGGGATATTAGATGTATTGTAGGTGTGTAAAATTGCCAACGGCCCGAGAAAAGCTCTGGCTACAAGTTACAGATTCAATCGACACCCACACGAAAGCGTAACACCAATGAGCACCATGCGCTAGACAAGCACACCTCACAGGCCATCAAGTTTCGCCACCGCTAATATAAACCTGGCTTTCGACGCCACCAATGCTCACTTGCCAACCTAGGACTCTGCGGCAGTACACATGTCTGCATCGTTTTGCGATACTTGATCGTCCATGCCAAGCTCTTATGGCTAGAATTGCAAACTACTGTCCTCCATGAATCGCTGATTGCAGGGCTCGTCAAGTAGCCGTAGCGACAAGTCAAGTGCACGGTGACGGTGCTGCAGCTTGACGTGATTCAGTGACTTATGTGACTCTAGCTCGTGCATGGGGTGGGTTTGGGAGAAAAGTCGGGGGGGCATTTGCGAACTACCTATTCTCCCGTCTGATGAAGTGGGCCGATATCCGTGTGATGACGGCCAAAATCTCGATGGGACGCCCGCAAGCTAAGCCCACCGTGGCTAGCAGAGCTAGAGTTTTACATCAAGGAAAGCCAGTCTATATTCTGTACACGGTGAAATCAAGCAAGCTCTGACATGCCAAAGGTATATTCTGCAAAGTGGCAACTGATGCGGCATTGATATGTGTACCCTTCATGCCTGACATTCGTGCGGAAGGACTGGGCGTTTGAGATGATACTTTAGAGCTTGCTAGTGAGCTCGCACCTGGGATCCAGTCATTTCATCGAAATAGCGAGGTTTCTCACCTCAGTCGATTGCCCGAGGCACCACACAATCCTCGTCATATAATGACTGATTACGTTGTGCTGCCTCTAGGACCTTGCATCATCTACATGCTCTGCATATTGATTCATCGGGTAATGCCCGTAAGAATGTCTCGTTGGGCATTTGTTCGCTTCCTGCCGTGCCCAGATAGGCACTGGATACGCCTCGTGCTCCGCTAAAAGTCGTGAGCAGAGCTGGGGCTGACTCCCTGTCAACGTTGTCGTTGTAGGCGAGGATGATCATGCTATTCTAATCCCTCCGAACGCTCAGAACTTACAGCGCGTCTGATAGCGGAGTCAAGCGCAGGCGGACAGCCAGTCTGACGGCGCGGCTCGCCAAGCCGCGCCCCAAGTAAGCAACGGCATCGTCTTGAGCAAGGCCACGGAGTACATCCACCAGCTGGAGCAAGCCAAACGTACCATGGCGAGTGAGCACCAGCAGCTCGTAGAGCGCCTGCAGCTGCTTGAGGCAATTCTCCAGAACAGCGGGGTACCCAATCATAGGCACCACCATGTTTGATCCTCCTGGTTATAGCTGAGTTGACGGGTTTCGGTGCTGCAACTCGGTCTTGAACGTGGAGAGGGCATTTCCGTCATCCGATCGCCCTTCTGAAGTTTGTTGCCGGTTCTAGTCTGGCGTCGTCTATCGTGGGCAGGCCGATGCAGGACACTTGCGGTGCGGGCAGGATCGTTAGACAATGGTTTCCTTTCCTCCCTTGAAACATTACGATCGTTGGTGATCGATCGACCGAAAGCATGTTCCTGGCTCCAAAGAGGTTGTGCATCACGGAAACTTTGGTTGAACCTTCCTAAGATGAAATTGGAACGAAGACAAACCCCACGGCGTGGTCACGCAAATTGTCCCCGAAATCTACTGTAGAAGCTGTCTGTTACAGACATATTCTTGTGTCAAGCCGCAACGGCGTACATGAAGCGATGCCATTAAAACTGAACGTGAAGTTGGAATTCTAATCAAGATCCGAAGACGTGATCTCTGACAATTTTTCACAAGTTCTAGAATAAAGCCATAGGACGAACCCATCAGCGGCCGGCTTGACCTCTGTAAAGGATGACGATTAGTGGATAGGAAGCTGCATAAATTACTACTTCGCGACCTAGGCACAGGATGAACAGCAGTGACTAGCTGAGCCATGTGATAGATATAGTCAGAAAAGCTATCGAAACTACGATACCAGCCCTGCCCTGTCAACGTCCAGCTCTTTACTCAGGCACGGCAAGGTGTGCCTGCGGTGGACCCGTCAACCCGCCCAGTACGATTTGATCCCAGTACGATTTGATTGGACTGCTAGCGACGTAGAAGAAGCCAACGATGGTGATTTAGCGTGGGGACGACCACATTGACAACTACTCTACCAGCTGAAGTCGGCGGCCCGATCTTAGGAGGAGCCGAGGCTTAGTAGATGGCGAAACCACGGGCGGAGGCGACTAAACTTTAAATACCTGTCTTTCTATCCTCTTTAACATAGGCACCATGCTTGCATGCTTCCGACTGCGCAAGCTGACGAGGTGGTTAGATACCCTCCACCTAACCAGTTAGGTTGCTGAACGCCACCAACCGAGGTAGCCTTATCCTTTTGATGTCTAGCCTTGTGAACCCCGCACCAGCACCATTTTCCCAGTTGCGCGGAGATGTCTACAGTCCATGCATCTGAAGAGCGGTGCCTCACCGAATTTCCGGCTGAGATTCTCCTGCAGATAGGAAACTGCTTGAATGACAAAGATGGCAGCTCCTTCTTGCGAGTGTGCCGTCGTTTTCTCAATCTCTTGATCTACGACTACCACCGAAACGATGACTATGGTTGAACGCTTCTGATCACGGCGGCCGTTCTGGGACATGTGATGCTTCTAGCGGGCATCGATACGGGCCACAAGGACACTTTTGGCAAGACGGCACTGTTATGCGTGTGCTCAAGTAGATCTGTAAATCGGGGACCAATAAGAATAGATCTGTCATCGGGATGGGCTTTGAAAACTGAAGCGGAGTGCAAATTTTCCCGAATATGAGCTGACAGTCCGCTGCACAGCAGGAAATCAGTACAGCAAGTCATCGCAACGTGAAAGCAGTTTAGGGCACATGCATGAACTCCCTGATTTGCCCAATTTCAAGCCTGGATCTGAAGTCTCCTTGTGGTCTATCGTCTTCAAAAGCAACTACTCGTCAATGCACAAGGTGATACAGGAGATACTGGAACTTTGTCCTTCTTCGGCTGCACCCTGATGCATGGCGGTGGCATCTTGTTGGCAAGGTGGCAGAGATCATTTACAGGCTGTTAATTCAAGAGGACGAAGTGGTGGTGTCAGCCTGCACACCACGCAGCCCTTTAAATATTGGATTATAACTGACAGACCGAACACAAGATGAGGCATACAACTCGCTGAGTTGGCAGAACAACAAGGACTTTGGTTCCAACGAAGTAGACACAGGTACATACACGCCGTCAGCTTCTGGCCTATTCCTGGCCCGAAGGTCTCATAAAACTAATTCGTACACTTTTTTACTGCATCCCGATTCTGGGTCTGAGCTTGAGCTACCTGCTCGTGAAGATTACTCTCGTTCTTCACGCCGGTCGATTGTTGCCGGTCGCACACACTCATGTCGCCACGTGCATCCGAGACGTTGCTGGAAGCAGGCACAGCTGATGATGGATGGGAGATGGTCCTGGGAAGCGGATGCTCCGTCCCTGTCTTCACCTCACCAATGTTCGTGGGCTTATGGGCATGCGAAAGAGCATAATCGCCAGAATCGAAATATGTCCTTTCCTACTCAAGTTATCAAGTCGGCCAGGGAGTCGTAAAACAGAAGGGATTTCTTGAAACTGCTAACCTGTAGCTGCCCTCTGAGTAGTGTGCTTCTGGGGAGCTTGTCCCCGTATAAAGCGCGAAGACGCGATTCTTTCTTAGCCTGCGAGTTGGCGCTCTGAATTCCCGCCATACTTATGCATACGGGAGGCCCATAGTCTTGATACAGCACCCTTTAGTTTTCTTTTATAGCGCAGACAGTATCCCGTCCCTTCGGTTGACTGTGACTGGCACTGTTATTTGCACTGTGCGCGCAGTATCATGGTGGGTGCTCGGCAGCTGTAGGTATCGGCCGGCAGATCGTATCCTAGCTACGTCACTGGTAGACCCCCGCCCACTGTAGCTTATAAACAGGTTGACAGACACAGGAATGCCCATACAACGCGACAGAGCTCAATCCCAGAACTACTCGCACTCACCAACAAACGTCAAAATAAACCTTTTACAAAAATGGACGACCTATAATGGACCTGGCCCGCCTGGAAGTTCGGGTTACAGATTGACGACCAATTCAAAGAACTCCAAGAACTCTACAACACCTTTCCATCAGCAATTCAGAATCCACAGGCGTTACACCTCGACCTTTTGGAAATCGCCACCAAGGCAACAACCAAGGAGGAGCTTTACAAAGAGCTAGCTATTCGAAGGCAAACACGCTTTTTCGAGCTCAATCACAGCCTCGAATTACTGAGTTGTGAGATCGTGGCCAACCCAGCCTTACTCGCCGTTTCGCAGTGGCATCACGCTGTGCAGATCTTTCGCACAGGATCGCTAGATTCACTGGTCGAATATTTTGCATCCTACCTCACCAGCGTTGACTCACCTATAGCCAAAGACACGCCAATTGAATGATGCTTGATTTATATCTGCATGATGCAGGAACTGCTAATGATTGGCAGCCTGGCCTGACACATGAACTGAAAGGCGGCTGTAACAGAAATGGCACGCTTCAGGGTCTTCACACTGAGCTACGACTACATGTCTACAGCAAAAAAAAAACTTAATTGTAGAGATGTTCCGCTGAGGAATTATTTCCTGAATTAGCAAATGCGGTGGAGAGTCCGCAAGCCTGCTCGTTTTGGAAACGGCGACAGACATTTGCATCAATACCCCAATTCTTTGTATTCGTCTACTAGAAAAAAAATACTTTCCATCGGTATGTAATATGGAGGTAATCTCGACGCGCCAGGCGAGAACCATGGGGGCGCCTGAAGTGTTCATCCGAGCTGTAGCATAATCCACCACAAATATACACATGGTGAGAGGGAGCTTTTCGGCCCAGCTGGAACAGGGCGATATTGTCATGAAGTTGGGCGACAAAATACCTGTGCGTTGGA